CACCGCCGTCTCCACTAAACGCCGCGGCACTTCTTGGCCCGCAGCGAGGACGAAGGCCAACGCGGTCGCCGGCGGGCCGCGCGCGGCTAGGCACCCTAGACAAGAGGAAAAGAGAGGGCGGCTGCAGAGGAGGAAGGAGGAGAACGGGGAGGAGGAAGGAGGAGGAGGAGGAGGACGAGGAGGAAGAAGGAGGAGGAGGGGACGGGGGAACAGGCGTAGAGAATCCACACCACGAGGAGTGAGCGGGCGGCCTCGGGCACCGAAAACTGTTGCACTGAACAATGCGCGGTCGGTCCTGGCTGTCGAAGGCGAAGGCAGCTCGACTTATGTCTCGGAGGAACAGGCGATGCGACGGGGGCGGAGCTGTGAGCGGGGGGGGGGAGGGGAAGGTGCGCTCGCGCCAGACCTGCCATCCGACGCCTCCCATCCATCTCCCACCACTGCGCAGATTCGTCTCTATCCCATCACTGCGAGTCTCGTCGCAGGCCTGGAACCCCCCAAAAGGGCACCATCGTATTATGCGCAGCAGGGAGCTGTGTACATTGGAGGTGGTGGAGAAGGAGAAGGTAATACAACATGGGAGAAGGTATGATGGTATATACGTAACAGGATACACGAAATACCATATATGATCAGACAAGACCAGATAATAGATGATGGAATAAGACAAGGCAACTAAGAATAGAACAATGATGGAAAACGGAAACGATGAGATACGGTATGATAAGATGGTACAACCTCAGATGAGATAAGGTGTGAGAACATCAACTTGAATAAGAGATGGTAGATATGATGAAATAAGATACTCCAATGCCATGAAAGACAATATTCTACAATAATACATGAAGTGAAGTATGATGAGGTGGGATCTGATGAGGGTAGATGAGGTGAAACAGCACAGTGTAATGTAAAGAGATATGCTTCGACAGGATACGATAACATACAGTGATATCATATGGCATTAAATGTTATGGAACAAAGATGGTACAAAATAGAGAAACGGCAGATGACATTATATAAAATAAGGTAAGAACAGATGTCACAAGATAATGATAAAGCCAAGTAATATATGATAATCAGTGACATGATGGTGATATACGGTAAGACCAGATAGGGCAAACAACAATGTGATGATATAAGGCAGTGCAAACGAACATACGCATAACATAAAATGAGCTAGCATGTGACGTACGACATTCGGTGACAGTACAGATGACACTACTGGGTATAATGGGGTAACATATGATGATGTGTGGTGTGATGGTACGAAACGGTGAGACAACCTAACATGGGCCAAGACAAACTGGTATGACCTGGCATGGTTGGGGATACGATGGGATCAATAAATAAGATGAGAAAAGGCTAAATAGGACAACATACGCCAGTATAAAATGTTACAATATTGTATCATCGAATTGGATGTGCGGAAACAAGATATGAAACGACAGAGAAATACCAAATCTGGTGTGACAACATGGGGTGATGTCAGGTAAGATGTGATACCCTAGGAAACAGATGATGTGCTAAGGAACAGCGTACACAAGAATCTGATATGAGATAGGCAAGGTAAGACCGATAGGCTGCAGTCGATTTGAAAAAATACACGTTGAGGTCGCACAGGATAGTGCAACGTAAGATAATACTAGATAGCGCTTGATGGCAGATGATAAGACAAGACGAGATCAGAAAGATGAAAATATAGCAGTTAAGACCAGATGGGACAACATAGAACAGGATCAGGCAAGACCAAGGATGAGAACGGCAAAGAAAGATGAGGAACAACAGATAATACACGATATGGTTGGGAAAATGCTGGCACTATGGGATGAGATAAGGTAGGGTAGTACACAATGACACATGATATAATAAACCATGTTACAATGAGACGAAGCACGACAAGACAGGACAAGCTCACGAAACTCACAATCAAGATACTGTTAAAAAACAAATATGGTTACTATGGCCGGGTCGTATGATGCATAGCAAGATAGGGCGTGTAAACATATACCTAAATTCCGGAAGATGCGGCAAGCTATAATCAGATCAGGTCAGGAAAGGTTACATACTATATCCCACTATACGATCGGATGGGGCACGATAACATTATAATGGTGTATATACGTTGAGACAACGTACGATAAGGTAAGAGTTTATACGCTAAAGTCGGGCGAGATACGACAACATAACAGAGATGAGATGGTACGGAATATTCTAACGCATGCTATAATAAGATAAGAAGACGTGAGGGGCGAAAATATATAATACGATACTATGATGCGAGATTCGGCAAGACATGCAACTGTACGATAAGGCAAGGTGAGATATGGCCGTATGAGACAAGATGGGGCAAGATACGGTAAGGCGCGGTCAGGTATCACAAGATGTGGAAAGAAGATAGGATACGATCAGGAAAAGCATGGCAATGCATGGCACAGAAGCTATCAATAATGAGATCTCGGATCTAAGATAAGATAAGATAGCATCCGATAAGTTATCCGAGAGGGGCGACAGGCCACATGGCCCAATTGAAGGGGAAACCAAGTGCGGTGCCTGCTGGGAGCTACGAGGGGGGCCTCATTGGCCCAGATGCGCCGAAGAATCCGCTTGGCTGAAAAGGGATAGCTCTGTCGATGGCCGCGCGCCAGTCAGGGTTGGGCCCCATACCACGCCCCTCCTGAAAGCCAGCAGCACCTCCTCTCCTGTGGGGGTAAGAAACAGACACGCACGATTAAGCTTCGCCCTGCGACCCTGAAGACCACCCACCGCACCGCACGCGCAAAAAAAACGTTGAACGAGCTTCCTCGCGGGCGGCCCAGGGGTCTGGGGGGGAAAGTGGGCCGATGGGGCGCGCAAGGTTTTTAATATATAAGGCCACACCCCGTCACTCTCGTGCGCAACACTCCGGGCACAAAATACACGTATGAAACGAAATCTCGCGACAAGACATATCGGGGCGCAGTCTTCGTCGATCCTTGAAGGGTCCTAAGGTGCCCCTGGGATGCTGCGGGTCGCAAAGGCCATCGGGGAATTCGTTGGGCACCTGCCCGCGGACCGATGTCTTCTCTGATGTGCCGACTATATACAACGGCTAGCAAACTCTGGTAAACGCGTGTAGACCGGTCTGACCGCTTCTGGGATGGTTTGCTTTCTTTCTCCGCTGGCTCCCGTCAACCTGCTGCCACTTCCGCTGGCCTTGGGACGAGGGCCAGATGTCAGCTGCTGCACGACACGCCCGAAGCCAAAGCATGGAGTCTGCGTGCATCTTCTGTACGCACGGTGGTGGCAAGGCGGCACGGGCATCACGAGTCGGCGGCGCGCCGACCGGGAAGGTGAGAGGGGGCAGGACTTCGGAGGAGGAGGAAGAGGAAGAAGAGGAGGAGGAGGAGGAGGAAAGGGAGGCGGAGGGGGAGGGGGAGGGGGAGGGGGAGGAGGAGGAGGAGGAGGAGGAGGAGGAGGAGGAGGAGGAGGGAGGAGGAGGAGGAGGAGGAGGGAGGAGGGAGGGAGGAGGAGGAGGAGGAGGAAGGTGAGAGGGGGCAGGACCTCATAGAAGGGGGCGGGGGTTCCCAGAATCCCCCCCAGCCTGCTGAGAAGCCCCCTGCGGCTTCGGGTGAGGCTCGGGAAACTTTTCGGGAGGCCAGAACTCTTCCGAGCCTTCTGAAAAAGGCCAGCCCCCTTCTGCCCTGCGCCGCCGAGTGAGGAAGGGAGGATACGACAGCAATGGGCAGCAGAGAACAAAATGTGTTTTTGTCTTCAGAAAGAGCTGTCAATGCAAGGAAGCAGGTCTCGACTAGCACGCTGTCTAGAAACAAAATGCACGCGCCGCCACGCTGCGTGTCGAAGCGCGCGCAGGAGACGAGATGATAGCTGGAGAAAGAAGAAGGGGAGGGAGGGAGGCGTCAGGGTCAATGGGGCAGGCCAACGTGCGTCACGGTGGCGACAAGTTTCTGCTGCTGGTCCGAAGGCTCTATCTCTACCCCGTACGGGAGCAACCAAGAGCTCCAGTTCTCCTCTGGCGCCACCCAGTACCACCCTGCTTGGCCAGGCATCCTGGGAAACGTCGGCGGCCCCAAAATGGCTCAAGCCCAGTTGGATGGAGCTTGAGAGGAGAAAGAGACAAGGAGAAGCCGTTTGGGGCGTTCGTGGGGTCCTCGTGAAGTTCTTGGGGCCTGGTTGGGCCTTCTTGGCATCCCTCTGGGAGAATTTGGGGAATATCTGAAACAGTTCTTGGGCCGTGTAGAAGGCTCTCGGCGCCGTCTTCGACTGGTCTTTGGCCGCCGTGGAACGATATTGGAGCTGTCTTGGAAGCCGCTGGGAGCCTTCGAAGCCATACCTATTGAATATTAAAGCTGGGGCCATCAAGGGGGAGCCCAATGACGGACTTGGACACTCTCGGAGGACTCTGGAGCCCATATCGGACTCGTCTGCACCGAGCAAGTTGGAAACGCAGGTAAACGCACGAGACCCAAAGCAAACGCCTCGCACGTTTTGCTGTTCGGGGGGGCGCTCCGCCGAGCCATCTCGAAGCCTCTCCAAGAGCTTGGGAGCAGCCTTGGGGCGCCTGGGCCTGTCGAAGCCCCTCCTCCGAACAGATTGGAGCTCTGTTGGGCTGTCCTGGGACGCTCTCGGCCCATCTTAGGGTCCACGTCGGCCGCCTTGAGGCTTTTTTCGGGGGCGGCCAAGAGGGGGGCGTCCAAGAGGGGGTGCAAATTATGGCCGGCGGCACGTGCGCGGCCCAAGGGGGGGCCAGGGACGTAATGAAATAAGAAGAGGCGCTATGAAATCTGGAGAAATGTCATGGCCCAAGCCATGATATCCACCCCCCCTAGTCATCACCCTCCTCTTGGTCGCCCCCGATTCTTGCAGCCCAGCTTTGAAGGCGGCGAGGCGAGGCGAGCGCGCGGTTCCGCCGGGAGCGGGGCCCTTTAGGACCTGCGCGGGGGGGGCCGGGGCCCTCAGCGCTTGTAGTCCTTGTTTGCCGAGGCGGGGGTACTGAGTCATGAGCACCAGGGCACCAGGCACCCGGGACTGAGTCGAGCCCAGCTAGGAAGCAACCGGGCACCCCAGGAAGCCGCACCCTAGGGGGGGGTATGGCTCGCGCCCTCTCAGGGTTCTCTGGGAGCTGTGTGTTCGCAGGATTCTCGACTTCTCAGTTCTGGGTGGCTCCAGATCGGCTTTAAGTCGGGCCTGTCCCTCTACAGGAGAAATATTCAACCACAGTCTAAACATAGTGTGGGGACGATTTTTTTTTGACAATTTTTGAGCACTTGGGGGGTACGTTTGGACTTTTTTTTTTTCCGTCCAAAATCGGCCTGTAGGGGGACAGGCCCGACCCAAAGGTCGGGTGTTACTAGAAGTGCCCCTTGCCCAAGGTGCCCCCAGCTTTTCGCTCCGTTTTGGAGTCCCTGGGGCCCTCTGGGCCTCGCGAGGGGTGTCCTGGAGGCCGTCTGGGCCACCCCGAGAATCCTGGGGGTACCTTGGGCTAGGGGTACTTCTAGCAACACCCGAAAAGGTAGGCTTGGGAAAGGGGCCCAACAGCGTCCAGCGTGCCCCCAAGTCGGCCCGGGCCTGCTCGCGTGTCATCGCTTCTTGACTGATTCTGAAGCTGGGGGGTCCCTCAGGATCCTCTTGAGGCCTCTTGGGGTCATCTTGAGGTCATCTTGGGGTCATCTTGGGGTCATCTTGACGACTCCTGGGCCGCTGGGGAGCTATTGGAGCCTCCGCGTGGAATACGGATGGCTACAGGAACACCCTGGGAGAAGGAGGGGTAGCTCCAACGGGCTCCAAAGCTTTCGGGGGACTCCTTTGCCGACCTGTGGCTCCTCCCCCGACCAGGACCGAAAACTGAAATCATAGATTAAGTTTTCCAGATTTAGACGGTCCTGGGCTCCTTCTGGGAACCCGTGGGGCCATATTGGGTTCATCTTGGATGATCCTGGGGCAGTCGGGCTGTCTTAGGAGCTGTGGGGGCCTCCTCGCGAAGCTCAGGGGAAGCTCCGCAGAGGCTTCGGAGGGGAGTGGGGAACCTCAAATGGAGCCCTCCTGGCAGAGTCCTAAGCGCTCTGCGGCCCTGCGTGTTTCATCCAATCTGGTGGGCTTGATGAGCGGTGTAGGAGCATGCTGAATATTCAGGACCTTGCAGGGCCCGCTTGGCGCTCCCATGAGTTCTCTTGGGCCAGCTTGGATGGTAAACGGGGCGCCTAAGAACTATGACTATGATGGCTGGGTGGGCCTCCCTGGGGGTTCTATATCGGGGCCTCCAGTGCGTTCATCCAGCCTTATGAGGCCTTCTGAGCAATGTCTGAGCACGTTGATTACTCAGGATCTTGCAGAACCATCTGAGCTCTTTCCTGGGTTGGGCCAGCTTAGGCTGTTCAAAGGGCATCTTAGGGACCTTTGGGGGGGTCATAAGCTGTCTTTAGGCTCTCATGGGCCATTCGGGGAGCGTGTTGGGGGCCACTGGGTGTCACTTGTCTCGGGGCCTTTGGGGGGATCTCTTGTGCCGTCACAAGGCCCTCTTGTGCCTTATAGGGATCCGTCAAAAGCTCTCTTGGGCCGTCTTGAAGCCCTATCGGGAGCGATCTTGGCCAGACGTGTTTGTGTGGGGGGCGTTGTTGGTCTGGCTTGTCACAATCAGAAATGCTCTCGAACTTATAGCTTGGGCAAAACCGTGGGAGGAAGCGAAGACTTAGAAGAACTGGAGGTGCTCACCTGGCTGTGAGTCTCTGGAAGCATCTTGGATCGTCTCTTGAAGCATCTTGTGGTCCGTCGGCGCCGTGCTGCAGCATTTCCGGGACGTCTTGGACCATCCTGGCGAAGCGGGGATTTATCCATATCCACCGCCTGGGAACCGACGTCCTGGTGCCCCAGCGGGCGGTGGATATGGATATATGGTGTCCCCTGGGGGTCCGAATATGTCCATATCCACCGCCCACCGAGATCCCTGAAATTGATCCTCCAGGCGGTGGTCACGTCTAAATTCCCGCCTCGGAGCATCCGCCACCGTGCCGATTGGCACAGACAGAGAGTGTGTCCGCAGGCCCTGGGCCCCGTCCATGAAGCCTCCATCCCCCCTCCTGACGACTCTGCGAGTAGCCCAGGCTCCGCTCGCTCGCAAATTCTCCCCGGGGGCGTCCCGCGTGCCCCCCTCTGGGGCCTCCCGCGCGCTCCCCCGGCCTCCCGCGTGCTCCCCTGCGGGAAGCGGGTGGCGCGCAACTTCCGAGGGCCCAGGAGGGCCCCGATACGGGCCCAAGAGGGCCCCCAGCGGCCTCCAAGACAACCCAAGAGGGCCCCGAGGCGCCCAAAGATCGGCCCCCTAAGGTGTCAAGATGGCCCGAGAGGCCTCCAAGAGGCCTTCCAAAAGGGCCCTACGAGGCCAAAATCCGCCGACCCTGCCAGCGTGTGACAGGGCTATTCCGTCGCCATCGCCGTCGCTGCCGCCGTCGCGTCGCCAAAGCCCTCACGTCCCCTCCTTCCCCTGAGTCCGACGCCGCTCCCCCCCCTTTCCTTGAACCATCGTCCTCAAGCACGCCAGCCACAGCGAAATACACCAGCTCACCCACAGCGGAATGAAGCAACGTTGTCATTGAGTTGAAGGGAAGCCCCTTCCCGTTGATCCCTTCCCCGCGGAGGGGGGGGAGGCGGTCCCGAGGGGGGGTCCTGGGGGGTGGTCCCGGGGGGTGGTCCCGGGGGGGGTCCCGGGGGGGGGTCCTGGGTATACCACCCTCCCGGCCCGCCCTCTCCCTCCCATTCCCGTCGAGGGCCGAGGCCTCCAGGGTCAGCGGCACCAGCAGTAAGGCCTTCACAATCATTGATTTTCCACTGGTGTTTGCGTGATTTGGGCGTTGTCGCCTTTTCGGCTTTCCGACGCTCCAAGACGGCCCAAGAGGCCCCCAAGACCACCCCAAAACGGCCCAAGAGGCCTCCAAGAGGGCCCCAAGACGGCCTAAAAGCGCCCCAAGACGGCCCAAGAGGCGCACAAGACGGCGCAAGCGGGCCCCAAGACGGCCCCAAAGGGGCCCAAGAGAGGGAACAAGAACCGAAAATCCAAGCCTTCAGCCTCAACCCCAAGAGGCGCCCAGGAGGCCCCAAGAGGCCTCGAAGAGGCCCCCAAGAGGCCCCAATGCCGCCGAGAGGCCCCCAAGAGGTCTCCAAACTGCCTCCAAGAAGCCTCCCACGAGATCCCAACAAACATCCAATAGGCGTCATACCCACAACACAGGCACGGTGGCGGGATGGGCCGAAGGCCATTAGACCTGGGCCGGCACGGAAACTGAAAGAGCGCTTCAGGAACTTGACCAAAAGTACTCACACCACCGTTCGTACTGGGAGCCTTGGCGTTGAGAGCTTGTCACGTCACCCCGCGCTCCGCCTCCTCCTCCTCCTCCTCCTCCTCCTCCTCCTCCTCCTCCTCCTCCTGCTCCTCCTCCTCCTCCTCCTCCTTCCTCCTCTCCACCTCCTCC